GAAAATTACTTTGCATGATGGATAGGCAAGATGTGAAAAAAAAAAGGCATGAGAGAAACATTGCTTTACAAACCTTAAAACTTTATAAAAAAAATTAGATATTTTGCATATGAAAGCATTGTAATGTTTACTGATAAACTGCCAAATTTCGTTAACATATGCTTACTAATTTATAAGTTATAGGATGAAAACTATAACAAGCACAAAATGGTTATGAGGTCGGTCCCAGGGACTGAGCCTGGATTGAAAGAGTTAACTCTTGAACATTAAAAATACTGAAGCAATTGCAAAATTCCCTCAAAATATCCAATTGATTCATGAAACACTAATGGTTGGAACACTATATATGTAATCCATTTGCTACAATAACAATTTTTGTGGTGTGAATGCCTTTTACAAGCTGGAAAAGCATGATTATAATTAATTATACTTGTTATAAGACATTAGTATCAGGCCTATTGTATTTTTAACTGCATTCTTTATCTGGTCCCTTATAATAATAGTGTTCCAACCAGTACCATAGTTGTTGTATCCCAGCTGGCTGGATGATTTCCGGATTGAGTGAAACGTGTTGTTGGCAATGGATTTGGCAAACACTGTCTGGTTTAAATACTGTTATTGTACACTGTTCTAATTCTTAAAATTCCCTAAGGGACTAGATACAGAATGTAGTGTTTAGAAATATAATAAGTTTTATGACAGGTATAGTTAATGAATAAACATTTTATTTTGTCTATGTTTATTTTGTCTCTTTACCAATATTTGTCATGTCATGTAATATATGTTCAGCCGTAACTGGTTATGTAGACAGTAGCTAAACAAAGCACTGGACAATGTTTTTTCTTGTTCTAAAACTGGGTCGTTTTACAACAGCATAAAACCTTTAACTAATTACTATTTAGAGATAAGCTGTTTTAATTGAATAAATTATTTTGATCTTACAAATTTTAAGTGCATTAATTCAACAGACAGCATGTCAGTAGTCACAGAAGAAATGTGTAATATCCTGGAGATGTTACATTATTGGTATATTGTGTAGGAAAGATTTGAAAGATGTCCAAATAAAAATTAACAGTTTGATGATTTTGGTAAAGTCTGGTAGTTCAAACATAGAACTAATCTATACAGTTTTGATTAGTTTTTATTTCATATTTGTACTTATATTCACCTAAGTATTAAAACTAACTATACTAGTTATATAGAATAATAATTTATTGATAATTTGTATTAATTCATTATAAAACAAAATATACATTAATAAGCATTTCCTATAGCATAAGACATCATAACATGTAATACAGCTCGGGCAAGGGTTTTTGTAGAGGCAGTACCTCCAAAGTATGGGTGGAATATCCACAGTGGCAGTTTATGAAAACCTGTATAAAGCAAAATAAATAATATCAATAAGTTGGAGATAACAAATTTTGGAAAAAAAAAATCTAGTTAAGAAAAATAGTAACATTATAGAATGTTTCATTGACGGTAACTAGGTAACTAATATATGGCTCTGTGTTATCCATGAATCTTTGTAGAAACAGTTGAACTTGCAGGATTGAATAAATGAAGAATATATCCTGTTTACTTAGTAATCTATACTTTAATGCACTGGATATCTGTGTAATATATTAAGAAAGTTTACTGTTTGTCTAGCAACAAACAAGAAAGAATAAAGACTGATGGTAAAGATGAGCAAGCTCAACTTTGTAGGATTGGATTCATAGTTTTGGTTTGAAAATATGGGCTTTCAGATTGTGGTATACTCTTGTGATATTATTAGATATTTGTTTAATGCTAGTATGGACGATGTGTTAGTGTTTGCATTGTTTATACATCCAAGGAACATACCAAAATAAAAATGAATACTTTTAGTAAAAGTTGCATTTAGCATCAGTTTTTATTTCATGTAGTAATAACATTATATGAGAACAAAATGAAAAACTTGAGTGATGTAATATTGTAATGGAATACCACTGTCAGTGATAAACATGTTCACTTAGAGTAACATTTGTGTCTTTGTTTGTTACTGTAGCTTGTATAATAGTGCATTACATTGGTGCAGAACTATAATGAAACTATAAATGTTGTGAATGTCTTATCAGCAGATCAGATTCCATGTATCAAGTGTCCTATATTTATAATTAAAATTTGCCACTTAGTTACTTGTAAGTATGATGTTACAATCTCATGAACAAACAAAACTTGCATAAACCAGTTTTATATATATATTTAGCCAATTCTAAAGCAAAATATCCCTAACACCTTTTTACATAATGCTCTCGTCTCCGACTACTGGAAAGGAGACGCTTACAATGCTACATGGAAAAATATACTAAACATTTCCTGGAAAACCAGATGACCTTCATGATGTCACTCAACTCCCTTTATATATCACTCATTCAATTACACCACCATTCCCAGTTTGCCCCTGAAGAAGAAAGGTCCCCATTTTGAAAGCACTCGGGTGATAGGGTTTTTATCATCTTGTATCAAGACTTCTTGAACATACATGTTTTTCTGACATCATGATTGCATAAACCTGAAAATATTTTCTGTAATGAGATAAATTGATAAGTATATGGTCACTTTAATTGCAAGATTTTGATACCTTCGGTATAGATGAACAGTTAAATCACACACAGTGTGCTGTGGATCAGTTCATATTTCGTTAACGTGTGCAATTGTTTTATAGATGTAAGAAGTTTGTGGTTACTCGGTTACGGTTAGCAGCTGAAAGATTTGTACATACTTTTGCAAGTACATACATCAAAAAATTTGCTTTGATATAAGAGAAGCATACTAGTTAAAGAATATTCCATTTCACGACAGCTAGTAAGTTCCGTCTGTTTATCAGAAGTCAAAATATAATGATCAGATTTGTTGTTATGCTGTAATAATGGTTTTTGTAATTTAAATTAAAATAAAAAAATGTGATTTGTGTGCACTATCATAAACAAATGGTTAAACTGTCTTTGTTATGTATGTTGTAATAAAGTTTTAATAATTCAAGAACTATATGAAAAATCATACTGAAACTTCACAAGATAATATTTAAGTAAATTGTGGTTCTGAACATATGGCCTGTGTTGTCTTTATCAAAAAATACATGGATAATGTTGTGCAATTTCATATTTTATTATAAGTAATGATACATTACAAAAATAGATCATATAGTTAGAGAATAATATATTTTGGTCAAGGAAAAGTCTGGGAATATCATTCTGTCCAAGTTATATACTAGCTTATCCAGGCCATCTAGGAAAATTATGTACACTGGGTCCCTGTTATATGTTGCATCACTCTACATCTTTTCATTATTAGAGCCTTCATCAATTACAACCCATGTATCAAATAATGTTGCCTTGTTTCATTACTAGAGCATTACAATGTCACTGACTACTTTACCAGGTGTAGTGTTTGCCAATTACTACCAATATTTATTAAATAGTGTTGTCTTGTTTCATTACTAGAGTGTTAAAACATTGTTGGACTACTTTATCATATGCAGTGATCACCAATTACTGTACATTACTGTACTACCAGTATGTGTGTGTGTGAAGCAACATTGCTGTATTCTATCACTAGAGCATACCAATGATGTCAGACTAGCTTATCCAGGCCACCTGAGAAAGTTATGTTCTACTCCAGTTTACAGCTGTATTATTACATTAATAAATGTAACTGAACTGTAACCATAAAAGGGAATAAAGAACTTTGTCTTTTTCAGGAGCCAGGAATGAATGGTGTCTACCAGTGGTGTGGGTCAGAGCCTTTGACCAAGTATGGAATGACTAAGATCATCTCTGAAGTGTTCAACATACCAATGGACAACATCACTGCTGACCCTACTCCAAGTCACACAGCTGCCCGCCCTCATAACACACAGCTATGTAGAGGGAGGCTAGAGTCCTTAGGCATTGGTCATCACACCCCTTTCCGAGCTGGAATCCGTCGCAGTTTCTGCAAGTTTGTGCCAAACCATGACCTTAGCTGACAAATGATGACCCTGACCTGTGGCTGTTTTCAGAAATCTGGATTTCCATATTGAAATTTGTGTTTTTGCATTTTGGATCAAAAGTTCAATAACTAGCATCTAATAAAAGCAGCTTTCTTAATACCTCAGTTTCAAACCTTAATTTAATACTGTGGAGAAATATGTTCAGCAGTATTGTTATTAAGAATGAAAAGAAATGGATAAAATGTGTAAACATCTGTTTCATCTTTACAAATAATAAAATCATCTTGCTAGAGAAGCCTCATATGATTTATTTAGATGTACCACTGGTTATTTGTTCTGTTTACATGTTACTCATAAATCTTCCATGTGATGCTCTTAAAGACATGCAGTGAATAAATTTTCAAATTAAACATTTGACCCCAATTTTTTTTTAAGTTAAATTAGTGGCCACTTAACTTATTTCAAGCTAGTTCAAATATCTTAATAAATTTTTGTCAAATTAGGTGTAACAAACAAAATGCTGGTATTAAAGTATATTTTCTTGGTAAGTATGAAATGACAAGATAAATATAGATTTATTATATTTACAAAGAGCAACTCCATGAAAATTTAGGGAAATATTTTAATTCTTAGTAGTAATCAGTGTGATTTTATTATTATTAGATATCATCCAAAGACGGACCTTTGATAAGTTATAATCTAGCTATAGTAAGCAAAGTGAAGTGTCTTATAACCGGACAGTGGCAAAAGTACAACAGTACGCAGTGTAATCAAGCAAGATTGCCTTGCCTTCTGTAAAACTGACACAAGTTGCTCCCATAACACACCTATTCAATTTTTATATATTTCATGCAGTTGGAGAACAAAACAGGTATTCATGCTATTCCATAAAAAAAACATAACCTTCAAGTTTGCAGACACATCTATGGATTTCTATGCAATTAGAAGCTTAAAACAGATGCTGGAGAAACATTGCCCTTGTGTACAATATGGATTATGGAAAGCATCAGGGAGGAATGGTGTGCTTTGAACTTGAAAGCATTATGCCATACCTTTTATAATGGAAATTAAACAATGGAACTATTGGGAATATCCAAAGTCATAAGATAGAGTATGAATACACATGGCAACATGGACTCTAACATTATGCTGAGGCTTTAAAATCCTTTGCACTTGCAACCCTTTGTGTTTCTACTAACTCCCAGAATTGATTAAACTATAACAATGTGAGAATTTTATTTTACTTGCCTTGAATATGTGCTTTCTTTTCTGTTAAAACACACTTGAAAGTCAATTAGACCAAAAAGGTTCCCTAATAACTACACTAGAGCTCTTAATCTAGTGAACTGTTAGATCTTGAATGTTTATTTACAGAACTGGTTCCCAACTAACTACACTAGAGCTCTTAACCTACTGAATTGTTGAATCTCGAATGTTTATTTACAAAATTGGTTCCCTAGTAACTAAAGACTAGAGCTCTTAACCTACTGAACTGTTGGGTTTTGAATGTTTATTTATAGAAGTGGTTCCCTAGTAATTAGACTATAGCTCTTAACCTAGTGAACTGTTGGATCTTGAATGTTTATTTATAGAACTGGTTCCCCAGTAACTAGAATATAGCTCTTAACCTAGTGAACTGTTGGATCTTGAATGTTTATTTATAGAACTGGTTCCCTAGTAACTAGAATATAGCTCTTAACCTAGTGAACTGTTGGATCTTGAATGTTTATTTACAGAACTGGTTCCCTAGTAACTAGAATATAGCTCTTAACCTAGTGAACTGTTGGATCTTGAATGTTTATTTATAGAACTGGTTCCCTAGTAACTAGAATATAGCTCTTAACCTAGTGAACTGTTGGATCTTGAATGTTTATTTACAGAACTGGTCCCCTAGTAACTAGAATATAGCTCTTAACCTAGTGAACTGTTGGATCTTGAATGTTT